GAGAGAGGACACGTGTGTGGACGGTCCACGCACACACTGCTTTCTAGGTATGGGGCCCAGCATCACTGGCAAGCGACAGTCCCAGCATAGACTCTGACCTGCCTCCTGCCCCTGTGCGCACTGCCAGCGCTGCAGTCCCCTGCCCTCCACACACACTCATTGGCCTTGAACAAACTCGGCCTCACTGTTATATCCTCCACTGTCGTTAGGGTCAAAGGTCCTCCGTGGGAGTCCCTATAAGTGGAGAGGCCGAGCAAGAACCCCTCAGAGGAGCTGCCATCAACAGTCCTGAGGCTCAAAGCGTCTCTTTCTTTCACGCGGGAACTGGGGCGCGCAGACGGGAAAGCCTCTCTCAGCCTGCAGACTCCTGTGGATTCTCTTTAGTTGCCTGCTTTTGCATTGTTGCTGTTTTTAAGTATACCTGTCTTCAGATGCCTCTGCCAAGTTTTCTGCAAAGTGAGTTGCTTTGGGAATTGCACGTCTGGTCGGCATGGCAAAAATCTTAAGCCAGGGACAACGCGGCTCTTCCCGGGTGAATGTGCTCGAACAGGCAGGCTGCTTACCTTGCTCTTGTTTGAAGAGAATGCTGTACTAAAGAAGGACAGAGGCCACATTAAACCAACACTCGGATTTCAGATATAGCACATCCCCTCCCTGAAGCACTCCTTGGCACCCGACCCACCACCCAGCCCCGGTGGATACAGTCACCACTGAGTCAGCTACTTCCCGTGCCACCTTGACCTCCTGTGAGCTCCTGGATTCCTGACCATGCGAGATTTGTAGCGTCAACAGAAACAAACTAGTTCTTAAAGAAACTGTCTTCTCCCTGCCCCCGTCACCCCCACGACCCCACAAAAGGAGACTAATACATTCTGTGCTTTCCTGCTCTGATCGCCAGGAAGCTCAGTCCACATTGCAGGTTAATTTTTGCAGTTGTATAAAACTGCACAGCCTATACAATAACCTGTTAACTTGGTCCCTAATCTTCCTATAAAGATGTTTCTCCTTTTCTGGTCTTTGTGTCTTTCTCGTTTTTGTGTACTAATTCTTTAAGCTTCTTCAATCCCTCTGTAAACTGTCCCAAAACTTAGATAATACAATCCTCCTCTTAGTGCTGTGTACTTTGCCAGTGCCACCTAACCGTTCTCTGGTGACTAGGTGCCCGGGGTCACCCAGCTCTTCCGGAGCAGAGCAGGAACTGGATGCTACACACCCAGACCACGCACCGGGCTCAAACCCCCCAAAGAGACAACTGATGCTCCTCTCTTCACCACAGGCCTTACCTGGTTGGTCATTTCCTTAGCCAAGGATGAAGGGCTAAAGGCCAGACAGTTCTGTGGAAACAACATCAGGTTTTCAGTAAGGGCGGTGTCATCAGGACAGAGGGGGTTACAGGAGGGTCCCCTTGATCAAGAAAATAGGCAATCTTTTGCCACAGAGTTGCCCAACATTCTTCTATGGATCAGTCCCAGGAGCTCCCTCCTTCTTCCTCCCTCGAAGCCCAGGACTCAACTAACATCTATTCCATCCCATGTTTTCTTCTAAGTCTGACTACAGAGAAGGACTAGTCTCTGTCCCTTGCTGCTCTTCAGAGTGATAAAACCATAGGCCTTTTAAAATATCATTTATCAAAAATCACTAAGCAAACACAGGGGAAGCAAAGTTCTTACAGTCCATGCAGGGGTCCCAACTAAGATGCCTGCGACAGCCTAAGGGCATGTAAATGAGGGCAGGAGCCGAAAGGAGATACATGTCTGCCACGGGCATCAAAGTTTTCAAGGACTCAGCTCAGCTAAACACAGACTTACTTTAAGAATAGATTTAGTTTCTCAGGCTATCATGAGGGTTCTTAATGTATTTTGCATGTTTATTGTAACAGCTTTGTAAAGCTGTTAGAAAAGAAATCAAGCGTGATCAATTTTTGTTATTCGAGGCAGTTGTATCCTATAAAGTTGCCGAGAACACTGATCCGTTGCTCCCGGGGGACATACTGGGTTAGGGTCCTGCAAGCCTCTGGTAACATTGTGGTCAACCCGATCAATACACAGCTTTGTTTTATGTGAGTTTCTGTTTAAAGACATCTTACTATACACTGGTAACTCATTAATACTGAACTCGTGGTCGACAGCACTGTTCGCCATGAATGAAGCTTATCTAACACATGTATTTTCTTCCCTAAGACACGTCACAGCCTTCTTGCACTTAGGAAAACTAAGACAGCACTTTGCACTGTGCTTGGGGATTAAACAGTGAATCTGCCAAAAAAGGCACAAACATACAAAAATCATGGCAGTAAACAGACTGAAAAAGGACATTGACAGTATGAGCCGAAACGAGAAGGCAGAGCGTCTCATTGTTCAACTATGTCATGTGTGCATCAGGTGACGCGAATTTTTCACCACCTCGAACATGTCCTCAAAAGACTACAAAAGCACTCCGAGTATTGATTTTGGGGCCACAAATACATTCTAGCATGTAGGCATATTTGCAAATACGGAATCTGAGTATAATGAGGATCGACTATATACCAAAATAAAGTTTTACCAATATACAAAAATCAATATGTGATAATGTAACGTGATTTTTTATTAATACATTACATAATGCTACCTATCGGCAAGTCTAGTAACTACCATAATTTCAAAATTGTAATGAGCTTACACAATATCCTAAGACATAAAAATACCTGTGATATCTACCGGTGACAGAGTCACCCTGTTAACACTGTGGTTTGTCGTCTACATTGATAATCGCAGGAAATGCTAAAATTTCAGAGGTTACAGAACGGTGTAATTTTTTTCACATCCATGTGCATGGTCCCCTCAAGGCTATCCACGAACATAAGCGACCATACAGCTAAGGCATCCAGGTTCGGGTTACTCGCTTTACGTTTGCAAACCCAAAACGGCTGCGGTGAAGGGTTTCCCAAGAATAACAGAGAAAACAAAGGATTTCTAAATAATTCTCCCCCGTGAAGCTCTCAGTCAGGTTAGCAGGGCTCAATTCATTTGAGATGCAAGACACAGTCCTGTCCAAGAGGAGGAAGGACGGGAAGCAGCTCGAGCCAGTCTCGCTGACATGAATGGCATCCGACCTCTGCTTGGCCACCAGCCCTCCGCCCCGCGAAGCACAGGTCTGCCCTCCCCGCTTCTAATCCCCACCTGGCGTTCAGCGACACAGAGACACGAAGAGCAGACAACCTTGCGGGAAGCCCACGGCCAAGAGGCCAGCCTGAAGACAGAGCTGTGCTTCTGCCAAGGAACGCATGTTTGAGGATGTGTTGATTCGGGCCCACTTTGAAGGGCTATACGTGGATCGCTTCCCTGAACACTCGTACCCCACTGAGTAGGTACTACCATCCCCTCCTCCTTCCTGGTAAGGAGCGTGAGCCTCAGAGAGCCTAAGGAAGCTTCCCCTGTTAGTCTGACAGTAGAAAGTGGATCCGAGCTGTGCCAGAGGCTACCGAGCTACATCACCTCTCACACTGGTTTCTGACAAGTAATTTCAGAGCTGCGAGGACCCCAAAGCCCTCTTCTGCCACTTTCTCTCTTTAGGGAACTTCCCCCCAATTTCCCAGGCAGAATTCACTGCTTGCTCCTGTGTTTCCAGAGGAACGCTACGCGTGCCTCTATGAAAGCACTCGGGCAGGTCGAGATCCCGCAAAACCACCCGGCACCTGAAGTGAAGCGGCCCCAGCCTGCGCTCGTCCCTGTCCGGGGATGGGAGGCCACCTACAGCGACGGCGCGGCTCGCTCTGGAAAAGTTCGGTTAGGACGGCCTTCCATCTAGGGGCACAGAGACCGCCCTCACCTCGAGGCTGCACAGAACGTTCTCAGGATGCAAGAGGAAGCCCGGACCCCGAGAGGCAGCAGGACAAACGGAGTCACAGAAGCCGCCTCAGGCCCCGCGGCCGGCAGCACCCTCGCGCACGCCTGCTTGGGGACAGCCTCGGGCCCGCCCTCGCGCATCCGCACTCCCGCCCGGGCCGTCGGCGGCCCCGGCGACTGCCACCCCCACCGGCCAAGAAGAGCCACTCACCGACTCTCTGCCCCGTCGCACTGTGCGGCGCACGTCTGACGCCAG